CTTCATAACTACTTGAGATCAACCATAAATGTGGGGAGATAGTTACAAACTGAAAAGAGGCCCACTAACCTCATAAAAAGATGGTATTTAAGGATTTGGACAGCGGTTACAAAAGGGGGCTGATCATCGAGCATTTATCGAGCGAATTGGAGCAGAGAGAACAGAGAGAACAGTGAGATTTGAACTCTTTGTGTGATTCCTTGAGATTCGAGCTTTGACTTGATCTTAAGAAGAACGATCGTCTTACTTTGATAAGATCTTCGTTTCAAATTCTCACTTTGATAAACGTTGGAAGAATCATTAAACCCCTCACGATCTGTGATTTGGTGGTCCACGAGCCAAAGCGCTCCCGACACAGGCAAAGTCCCACAAAACAAGAATCGATAAACGATTTTCTTGTGTTATTTTCTCAAGAGTTATAATTTTTACTTTATTGTGTAAAAGAAGTCTTATAAAAAGACTATCTATTTCGAATTTGTTGTAATCGATCGAAGATATAATGAATTCCATAACAAATTCAACTTTTGACGAAAACATTGTTAAGTCCATAAATGAAGAAAACAATATTTTCATAGAATTACATATTCTATACAATATATTCTTAAACATAATAGAATATGAAACAAATTAAAATGTGAATAAATTTGTTTGTTGTTTCATATCTATGTAGCTAAACCAAAACAATAATAAATATGAAATATGTAATCTCATATTTATAAACATATAAATATGAAATATGTAATCTCATATTTATAAACATGAAAACTCAAAACCATGTATGTATGTATATAACATAGAAACCAAAACTTGTGTGTGTGTGTGTGTGTGTGTGTGTGTGTGTGTGTAACTATAAAAATCAAATACGTGTGTGTATATGTGTATATATGATTGAGCTTAAACTATCAACACACATAATATAAACAGCTAAACTAAGTTACCCAAGCAATCTTGATCTTCAATAAGCTTGACTTGGTACACTCTGCGGATGAAGCTTGAACTTGAATCTTCAACTTGAATTGTATAGGCTTCAACCACTATTCCGCCAACCTCCATTGGATTTGATCGTTAAAGCGCAATCCATCCAACCTCTAACATGTTGTTTGTCTACAATAAATAAATAAACACAAATACTAGAAAAACAACATTAGATGTAAATTGTTTGTAAATCATCATCAAAACAAGAAGGCCAACACTAGCTAGTCATTTCAAATTGACTAAGGAGCAGTGCCCCGATACTGATGAAGAGAAAGACTACATGGCTAATGTTCCATATGCTTTCGCCATTGGAAGCCTCATGTACGCCATGGTATGCACGAGACCTGACATTGCCCATGCAGTGGGAGCTGTGAGCAGATTTATGTCAGATCCAGGAGAGCTGCACTGGGAAGCAGTAAAGTAGATTTTGAGATACCTGCGAGGTACAATAGAAGACTGTTTATGCTTCAGGAGAGGCAAGTTAGTTCTGTAGGGTTTTGTTGATGCAGAATATGCTGGTGAGATAGACCAGAGAAGAAGCACTACAGGATACGTATTCACTTTGGGCTCTACAGCTATTAGTTGGGTTTCTCAGTTGCAAAAGATTGTTGCTTTATCAACGACAGAGGCTGAATATGTTGCTGTGACAGAGGCAAGCAAGGAGATGATATGGTTGCAGAGTTTCTTGGAGGAGCTGGGACAGAAGAGTGAGAAGAGTGTTTTATATTGTGATAGCCAGAGCGCAATTCATTTGGCGAAGAATCCCACTTTTCATGCAAGGACCAAACACATACAGGTCCGCTACCACTTCATAAGATCAGCGTTGGACGAGGACATGTTGGAACTTGTGAAGATTCAAGGAAGCAAGAATCCGACCGATATGTTTACCAAGGTTGTCACTATAGAGAAACTGAAGTTGTGTTCAACTTCAATTGGCCTCATTACTTAATGATATGGAGGCCGTCGCCGCATAGAGAGCTGAAAGAGATTGATAGTTAGTCTCCAAGTGGGAGATTGTTAGGATATGTGAAGCCTAACTATCAGACCTGCCCTATACTTCAGAATGGAGAGGAACAAGGCGGAACAGGAGGAACAAGATTGACGACGACGAAGTTAAAGAAAAACGACGAAGAATGCATTTTGACTGGGTCGCGGTCGACCGCCCATGGCGCGGCGGTCGACCGCTGACGTGCACAGAC